CCCGGCGCGCGGCCCTGCTGACGTCAGCGGGCGGCTCGCGGTGCGGGGTGCGCAGAGCCGCTGGCGCACTCGCCCCCTCCCCCGCCCGGGCTGTGGCGCGCGCGCTCTCCCTTCATTTTCTTCTCCCCTCCCTCCCAGCCTCTCTCTCTCCCCCTCGAGCTCCCGGCTGCCCGCGGCTCCCTCGCGCTCTCCCTCTCTCTCCGGTAGGCTCCACCGAGCGATGCGAGCTCTGGGAGACAGCGACGCCGCCTCCCGCTAGAGACCTGCCCCCCGCCCGGCCCCCTGCCCAGCCCTGCCCAGCGCGCGGGGGTCGGCGAAGGCGCCGCGGACGCACCGACGGCTGAGGACCGGCGATGCACATGCACTAGCAGCACCCCCTCACTCGCTCCCTCCACACCCCGCGCCGCCGCCGCCTCCTCCTCCTCCGGCAGCAGCGGCAGAAGGACCCACCCTGCCCCCCACCCCACCCTCCGCCGGCTCGGGCTGCGGCTCCTGCCTCGACTAGTATTTTATTTAGTTTGGGTCGTGCACAAGCCTCAGTGCCTGCAGCCCGCGCCTACACGGACCGCGGGCGCCTCCTCCCTGGGCTCCGGATCCCCAGACCCCGGCCACCCTCGCCTCGACACCCCCAGAGCCGCGCCAGCTGCCGCGACTCTCCGCTGCTGGAATCTTGTTAGCGGCTGTCTTTTTGGGGGGTTCTGGTTTCCCGACATTTTTGTTTTCTGCCGAGGGGAGGATATCGTGATTTTTTTCCCCTTTGAGCCCAGGCTCTGCTCTCTGGGGGGGTGGGGGGCGCGCCGAGCCGGGGAGCCGTGCCAGCCGAGTCGTGCGGGCTGTGGCAGGGAAGGGGCCACCATGGGATGTACTCTGAGCGCAGAGGAGAGAGCCGCCCTCGAGCGGAGCAAGGCGATTGAGAAAAACCTCAAAGAGGATGGCATCAGCGCCGCCAAAGACGTGAAATTACTCCTGCTGGGTAAGGACCGGGGCTGCCACCCCTATCCCCAGACCCCGGCCCCTCCGCACCCCCTCCGCCAGCTCCCCCACCCCACTCGGGCCCGGGAAGACCTGGTCCCGAGTTGGCACCACCATGTGCCCAGGATCGCCCACCCCCTCGCATGCCTTATCCCCCTGCCCACCCCGTTCCCCTAAGCTGACACTCACCAGTTTTTCCCCCCTGTCTGTCCCAACAGGGGCTGGAGAATCAGGAAAAAGCACCATTGTGAAGCAGATGAAGTAAGTCCCTGTGGCATTGGGATTTGTACTTTTATTAAGAATAATTTTTTATCATTTGTGTTACCTTGCTCACTCTACATTGCTCTCCGGGCCCAGTTTTTAATTCGTGCACACACACACACACACACACACACACACACACACACACACAGACCTGGATTTGACTCCCCTCCCCCACGCCCAACGTTGGTTCTGAGTCCTCCACCCCAACTCCCCGGGTGGGTGTTTTTTTTGGGGGGGAGGGAAGGGGAGCGCCTGTAGTTGTATGAATGACAGTGTCCGCCATATTGATCAGAACATCACACTATTGGCATGATTATGATCATTACTCTTGCTCGTGGGGTGTTTCGTGTGTATTGATGCCTGCATTTCTGTCTCTGTGTCTCTGTTTCATTCTGTCTCTATTTCTCTCTCCTCCTCCCTCCACCCCCCACCCCACATCCATAATCTCACTTCGCCCTGCTCTCCTTCTGGGGCAGTGATTTTGAACTTGGCTAAAACATGGAGGGGACCCAGCCCTAGACTGGGGTGGATGATCAAGTGTCTGCTGTTCATGGATTTGGTGCTGAATTGGAGACTGTGGTTTCTGCCCCCTCTCCCCCCAAAAAGAGGACGAGGGTTAGGGGAGGGGGCGTGTGGTAGGGAAGGGGGTGGGGGTTTCCCAGCTTATGTGACTGGCACAGCTGTATCCAAGGCAGAGGTGGAAGGGGGACACTGGCTGTGAGGCTGAATGCCCGCCCCTTGCTGCCCCCCCTCCTCCCCCACCCTTCCCAGCGTTCGCTCTCCTGACACTGGCAGTTTTCTTTCACTCTGTGGCCTTTATCAATGTATTTATTTACACTCTGCATAGGCCGTGTTCCATGTAATCTACCCCCAATGCGGATTTCAGGCCCCGCTTGCCGCCGCCCCCTTCTGCCTTAGATATCAGTTTCCCCTCCTAATTAACTGGGGGTGGATTTGAGTGATGGTTGAAAATTAAAACAAAATGGGATATTTCTTCCCTTCCACACTTTCTCGATAAGGAGCCTCGCCCCTCCTTTCCACTCTCGGGCTCGCTTCTTGCCCCATCCACTCCGCTCGGCAGTTCCTGGTGAGCCCTCAGGCAGCTTTGCTTGGGGAGGGGGTGGCCGGCGGGGAAGGGGTGCGCGCCCGCAGGGCCTCCTGGCCCTGCTGCTTCCGTTGGCCTGTCGGTTCGGGACGGAGGAGTTCGTTAAGACCGTTTAGCGAGGATTCCACGTCGCTTTGCTGTGACACCTTCGTGCACACACAGCTCCTAATTAGAGGTTGCTGTGCAGTAAACAAAAATGATTATTTTTCAACTTGACAGCATAGGCGAAGTAATTGCATCCCGTAGGAAAACAATGGAAAATAAAAACCCCTTTCGTGGAAAGGTGGGTGGGAGACGAAGCATGCTTTTGCTTTCAGAACAAGATGCAAAAAATCTTGCATGTGTAACAGGCATGACAAGCGGGTTCTAGGCGGCGCCATGATGGTAGGGAGTAGCGACTCGGAGACAATTTCCCCCGTCTGCTTGACGTGCTCTTATTTTTGTTCGCGAGCTCCCCGGGGCTTTCTTTGCAGAGGCCCCCTCGGCTCGCCGCACCCCTCTGAGCCACGGGTAATTTGGCCTGGGGCTTCTCTGGAGCTTGTGCAACCCAAATGGACGGGGAGGCGGGGCCTGGGGAATTGCTCTTTGCAACAAGGTGCATGTTGCATCTGCCTGGAACCCTTGCAGGTCGGTAAATGCAAGCAGCGCCATCCCTTTCTCCCTAAGGGGGACGTTTCAAAACTTCAGAAGTCCGTAATCTGCAGTGGCGGGCTCAGCCGGGTAGAAGCCCCAGCCACCGGAGCTGGGTGAGGTTTCAGGCATTGCGAGTGGTGGACAGCGCCCAGCCGAGGCCGGAAAAGTCGATGGGGCTCAGCTCGGCGGCACTCGGCTCGGCTCGCCCTGTGCTGGGCGCGGGGCTCGCAGGGACTCGGTAGTGCTCGGAGCCGAGTCGGGGCCCCGGCGGAGAGAGCCGAGCCTCTTCGGCGGGGGGGGGGGGAGGGCGGAGGGCCGAAGGCATTCGGAAACGCTCGGCAGAGGGGGTAGAGAAAGGAAGGAGGGGTATGCTAGAGTCTGCAAATTAACTTTGCATCCGCCAAAGTAACTCCTTACCTGCTTTTCCAGAACAGGCCCTATAAATTAGGTTGATTTAATAAGAAGTTTAAAAATATATACTGAGTCCCCCAAAGAGTACCTCGCCTTTTTTATTCAAAGAGAGCTGAGCTCTCTGAGGAGATGTGTGCCATTTTAGAGTGAAAATTCCTAATTATGTACTGGTGTAGGAAATCTTAAATGAAGGCTGTATGTAGACTTTCCCGGGAAAGTCTTATTTCTCTCATATTTGGTTACACTGAGTAGGGGGGAAAAATCAAGCGTTTGATATTTGAGACTGAATCAGATAGTCGATCATTTCTTCTCTTTTCCCTGCACTCTTCCCTTTTCTCACCCCCACAGGACACCTTTTTGGAGAAAAATGTCAGGCAACACTGAGTTTTTGTAGGTAAAACTATTAATATTTTTTTAAAAAAACAGTACACCAACTCTGTTTAGCAAGTAGGCTAGGTTTGTTCAAAAGGTCAGTCAGAAAGATTTCTGGCCCATGTCAGTTTTTCCACAAGGGACCCTGGCGTCCTGTTCTGAAGCATTCATGAATGGCAGCTTTTCCTCGGAGCCCTCCAGCTTGGCTTGAAATAAGTTAGATCAGGGCCTTGTGCCAAGCTGGATGCAGGACTTGTTTTATTAACCACAAAATGTGGGATTGGTGTCACTGTATCCTAGTGACAAATTCTTTTGAGTCCTCCCTTGCAGAGATGATTTTTGACTGAGAGTCACTTGAGTCAGGAAGGACTATACTGTGGGTGGGGCCAGGCCCCAAAATCTAGGTGGCATTTACAGAAAGCAATTTTGGACTTGACTGTGCAGTACGGTTGGTGATCAACCTATCAGGCCCTACATACGAATTAATTAGGATGCTGTTTTATTTCACCTGGGCAGAGGAAACTAGAGAGTTCTCTGTGGGTGATGCCCTGTGAGAGGAAGAATATCGATATTCAGGCATCTCCAGATCCTTGTTAATCAGCATTTCCAGAAGAGCAAAGAGCCATTACATTCCGTCTCTATTCTCATCCACGTTGTGATGTGCTGATTAGAAGAACGAATAGGCTTCCCTATAGGCTCGTAGTAACTGAAGTTATATGAGAAAGGACTGGCTGGCAGATGCAGCTTAGAACAGAGTGTTAACACCCATAGCAGCCGAGGAACATTGCTGGGATACTGACCTTTGAAATTCTTTTGCCTGATATGTGTTGTAATGGGAAACCGGCATCCACTTAAGAGATGCCACAGATTAGACTGTCATTTTAAAAGCCCAATTCTTCATACTTTATTAAAAATTTCATTTGAACATAGCTGTCTGGTTTTTTTGTTTCTTTATGTGTATGTGATTGTGACTAGTGTTTGGGAGCTCTGTGTCAGACAATCCAAAACATTTCAGTACTGAGAAATAAACAGTGATAATTGAGACAGCACAAATATAATTTTACACATACCATGACTAATCAGTGACTTTTTTTTATGTGTGGCATTTTAAATAATTTTGCTTATAGGAAGTCGTGACCTCACCTGTGATACAACCTCATCATTTTTGTAGTCAATCAGTGGGACTCTTTTAGTTATTTAGACTAATCAACATTTTAAAAGGAAGAGTTAATTTTATTTAATTACTAAAATCCTTACAAAGAAATCCCTTAAAGAATTATATTTTATGAAGTATGGAATCAATGGAATATCACTTTAAGTGACTTGGCGTTCTGAACAAATAGTGACAATTGCTTGGACATCTACCTGATGAAAATGTAAAATGAACTGTGGAGTTGCTATGGACACCACAGTTTGCCCTCATTTGAGATGTTGAGTTTTCTGTGCTGTCGCATTCAGGCTGTCTGTCTCTGGAGCATTAAGTGGATTTTTAGGAAGATAGAGAGTTCGCAGGTGGCAGTGAGGCATGGCTTGGTAGCTGGTAGGCTTTGCATAAATGGACACAGTAAAATGGAGCACTTCGGGTGTGCATTCATTCCCAAGGTTCCTGCTCAGTGCCATTGTAAAACAAATTTAAGGCTTTGCCTGGTGAAGATGTCTTGCTCATACAAATATCCCAGCCCTTACAGTGGGATATGATTCCAAGGGCAGACCCCACCCTGTCAGGGAAAGCAGTTTTAAGATGTCACTTGCTGCCAAAAGTTTCCTCCTACCAGCTGACCCTGACTTTGTAATTAGGGTGTCTACTGTTTGGCTTAGGTTCAGGGCAAGCCTGCGTTTATTCAACACACTGCTGTTCAGCGCCTACTAAGTGGCAGGCATTAGTGGAGGTGAATGGCAACTCGCAGCCATTACTCTGTAACAGTGCAGCCATCTAAAAGGGTGTTTCCTGCACACCCCTAAAGGGTCCCATTTTGAGGCCGTACTCCACAGAGAGCTACTCTTCTGGATTTGTGGGCTTGTTATTTCTGCAATCATCTCGTTGGCTGCTTTGACCCCCTCCATTCCTCCTGTCTCCATCTTTATTCAAATGGATGCGCCTTGCTCTCTGGAGATAGCATGAGCATGAACAGAATGTCAGATCAAGTAGCAGATGAGTTCTCCTTTGCTGATGGATGGTGCTCTCTCTCTGCTTACTGTTCACTGAGCTGTAAATACCAGCAGACCTTCCTGCCAGAAGACTAGCAAACAGTCCACCTCGTCTCAGAAATCAGCTGTGGAATTCTTGAACCTCAGTTACCTGTTGGATTTTGAAATAGAATCTGTCTGCTTGTTGAAAGGGTCATTGCTGATTAGATTGAATGACTGAAACTTCATGCAGGAAGGAATGAGTGAAAGGAATCCAGAATTTCTGTTCTTTGTGTGTGGGGCTAGATTAGATTTACAGTGACCAGAGTCGGAGTACTGTCTTGTTTCTTTGGCACTTAGAACTTCCCAGATTATATTGTGCTTGTTAGCATGCCACATCTGCTAAAGATAGGACAGGATCACTCGTGTTTTTCAGCTGCTCACAGTACCCTATCTCTGTTAACACTGGAGATTTCGTATGAGTAGAATAAGGTCCTATTTTTCTGACATGTGCTCAGTCCATCTGGATGCAGGGACTTGGTTCCCTGTATGCCACGGTGTTTTCAGTCTTTCATTTCTTAGGAAGCAAGACAGACTATTATCACGAGAGCACATCTTGATCTGAAAGACAATAGACAAGCTGGTGAGGGGATGGTTTCAAACTGAAAAAACATTTTGGAAAGCGTTACCCCCAAATTTGACACTATCAAAGAACAACTTTTGATTTTGGAAAAATAAAAAAAGTTATGTATGTGTGTGCATGTATACGCATACTACATGAATTTAAAAACAGTTAGCAGGTGCTATGAGAAGGGCACTTCACCTCACTTTCTTATTGATTGCACCATCAAAAGAAGCTTGAAGGTGTTCAGATGAACTCCATTCTAAGAATTTGTTCAAATTTGTGTCATAGTCTTATGTTATTCCCTGCCTCTCATTCATGCACAATACCAGTTAGAAAAGAAACTGTCCAACAAATCAGTCATTAGCTTAGGGGGGAAGGGAAGGAAGGAGCAGTGGCCTGTTACAAGTTTAAGGAAATAGGTAGTTTCCTATTTAGAGAAGCAGTCTGGCACATTTCTCTAAAATTGAGAGGTGATTAAGAGCGTGGACTCTGTAACCAGGCTGCCTGGCTTCAGATCTTGGCTCTACCACTAACTAGATATGTGACCTTAAACAAGTTACTTAACTTTCTGCACCTTAGTTTCCTTGCCTGTAAGATGGGGCTGATAATAAAAATAACCACCGAATAGGGTTGTTGTGAGCATTAAATGATGTAATTTATGAAATGCCCTTATAACAGTTTTCTAGAACATGTAAATCATCGTATGAATGTCAGCTTTAGTTTTTTTTTTATTCCTCTGATTGATTTGTGGGTGTTCCCTTCCCATATGGAGTTCTCCTCTCAAGTGTGTGGGACTTAGCTGCCCTGAGAGCCAGAAGGGGGGGCGCTGTGGTTCACGCTCATGGCTTCTTCCCCTTGCCTGCTCTGCAGCACCAGTTATATAACAAACTGTCTTGTCATAACTGTTGTGACATTTTTGATGGTGCAGCTGCTTCAGCTCTGGAGGCTGGAGTGATGTTATAGAAAGTGGGAAAGAGCACTGGACCAGGAGTCAAGACAAGTGGCTCTGCCCCTGCCTCCCTAGGGCTTTGTTTCCTGAAAGAGTTGGACCCAGGGTACCCCAAGCTCCTTTCCTGTTCTGAATGGTCTATGAAATTGGGATTTACCTTCATTTTCAGGGTCTTGAAGTCTTTGACGTGAGGTTCTAAACATAAAAGCATCAATTATGGTTCCATCTTGCAGGGGTAGGGGATACCCATGAAAGCTCTTTTAAGGCCAAGATAATTGCAGAATAGCAACCTCAACCACAAAGCTTTGTCAGCCAGGAAAGTCATAGCCCTGAGAGGCATTTTGAGGAAACCACCTCTAACCAAACTTTTCATGCAGACGTGGTTCTCAAACCAAAGAGGAGGATCTGAAAGTATCCTGTTAGTAAGAAACAGGATGCTTCTGGGAGGAAAGACCCAATGACATGTTAGAGGCAGACGTGGTTTGTCTGTGGCTTCCAGGATGCTTAAAATGGAGACAGCCCTGGCTTCCACCAGTGTTAGCTGCATGTGAAGGAACTTGCCTGGGTTCAGGTGCGTAAGATCAGGGATCTGGGAGATTTGCAGACCAGTGAAAGGGAAGGGGCAGGAGAACTGTGCTGTAATTGTGCCTCATTCTCTGATTTGACTTCCGGCAGGTCATTCAGTCCCTCGGAGCC